GATCTCACTCATTTGTGGAATATAGAGAACAGCGTAGACTGATGAACAGGGACAGAGCCAAAGATAGAGAAACAGCGATCAGACTATCAATCACCAGAGGGAAAGTAGGGGAGGGTGGGGGTAAGGAGAAGAGATCAACCAAAGGACTTGTATTTGTGTATATAAGCCAAACCAATGGGCATGGACAACAGGGGGATGAAAGCATGAGTTGGGGGGGGGGGAGGTTGAGGGTTAATTGGGGGGCATGAGGGCACACTTCTAATACCTTAACCAATAAAGAAATTAAAGATAAAAAAAAGAAACTTCATTTTACTCCTCAACCAACTGACAGAAAGAGCTCCTTAATCCCTTCCTTTGCTCCTCAAAAGCCACAGTAAATTCACTAATGAGATGGACTGGTATGATTTCAGAACAACTGTAAGTGTGCAACCTAGATGTCCCTTTCCATTCTCTCTAAGGATATTAGCAATATATATATAATGATAAGTATGTTATACATTATAATATAGAGAATATAAGTAACTAGTAGTTAATTATATTCATCAATGTCTGTAACAAACTGGGATTACTTCCCTAACGTAAGAGCCTGGGGAAAGTGAGACTATCACAGCTTTCCTGAGAGCTCAGCCATTTAGGTGTTGGTTTAGCTCCCCTACCGCTCCCACTATCCAATCCTGTCTTCTTGGGAACCTGACCTCCCGATTGGCTCTCTCATCCCTTTAAACTGCCTGCTTTGTGACATCATTCTCCCACCAAACCTACCACCACCTGGTAGAATCTTGGGGTGCCCATGGAGTTGTCTGTAGATAAATTTGGATCATCGCAATTGACCAGTGATCAGTAACTGGTGACCAGTGACCAGTGGCCAGTATGACCAGTGACTTTTGTACTGAACAAGATGCTCTTTGACTTCAGCCACTGAGACATCTTCATTCCTTGCATCTACAGTTGATATCTGTTTTTCTTCTCTGATCATGTCAGAAGTTCCTGACATTCCTCAGGTGCTGGCCTGCACTGATCCCCTTGACCAAGAGGAGCAGCCTGGTTGTGACAACTGTGGTTTGGGAAAGAATAGCCTGAGCCTTAACGACCAAGGGACACTTGAAAATGGGACTGAATCTAATGACAGTTTTGCAGACATTGCTACACTGGTGAAAGGTATTCACCTTCCACAGGTCTTAACTTCCTTGGATCATCTTGATCAGCTCCAAGGACCAAAGGTGTTCAAAACCAAAGACACCTGGGGCCTCAAGTTGCACGAAGTGCAGAAAAAGTCAAGTGTCAGAAAGACTCGCACTGATCAAGGCGCGAAGAAAAAACAAAATTGGGAGCCTATCGGTGATGCTCCCAAGGCCAAGATCAAGCCCAAGAGCCCAGCATGTGTTTGTGGGAGAAGTGGTTCTTTGCAATGCTGCAGCCAGTGGCATGGTTCCTGCAAACATGGCCAAGCATTCTAACAGCAAACCTCAGAAAGCTGCAGCCAGCAGGACCAGCAAAACTAAGAGCCATGGGCTGGAAAAAAACAAAAGAAACAAAGAAAACTACTCCAAGAGAGCTGAGGAGAGGAAGCAGTCAGGGAACACAGTCAGGGCAGGCCG